ATTTAGAAAGAATTATCCTAAATCACATTCCCTTTTTCTACTAGTTTATATTAATCATAACGAAATTGCACAAAACAAAAGATATAAGATATAAGCAGAAAGAAAAAAACTAAAAACAAAAAAACAAGCAAACAAAAGAGCTTACACTACTGACATCATAACATCTAAAAACTGGATTTAATGCGACATTTAAGTATTTAATCACAGGATTTGTATACTGAAGGTGAATGTTATACTTACTACGTGTAACATTATAAAAGTAACACCAAAAATTATAATGTTGATAGACAATACTATTGCTACTAATAGTAAATAAATAAATAAATTCCTACTAATAAAATGAGATTTATGACACAGGAAAGGAATATAATCAAGATAACAGTAATAGTAGTAAAAATAGACTAGGGTTAATACAGAAGGGGTACTAATAGTAGTAGTTGTAATAATATTTATCATTAAAGTAATGATGGTAATGATAAAGATACTAATAAGATAATGATAATAATGATAATGATAATGATGATAATAAAAGTAATGATAAGATAAATAATAATAATAATAATAATGATAAGGATAATAATAATGATGATCATGATAATGATGATTTTGATAATAATAATAACAATAATGATAGTAACAATAGTGATAGTAATATGGAAGATAATGATAACAATAGCAAACTGATAATAACAATGATAATGATGATAATCATGATACTAATAACAATAATAACATCATTAATAACGCTAATAACAATGATAATAATAGTAATAATGGTAATAATGATAATGGTAATGATAATAATAATAATAATAATAATAATAATAATAATAAAAATAATAATAATAATAAAAATAATAATAATAATAATAATAATAATAATAATAATAATAATAATAATAATAATAATAATAATAATAATAATAATAATAATAATGATAATAATAATAATAATAATAATTATAATGATAATAATAATAATGATATGAATGATATTAATAACGGTAATGATAATAGTAATAATAATAATAATAATAATAATAATAAGTATAACAATAATAATAATAATGATAACAATAATGATGATAATAATAATATGGATAAGAATAATTAAATTAACAGCAATAAACAATAATAATGATGATAACAATATCAACAACAACAGCAAGAATGAGAATAATGATAATAATAATGATAATGATAATGATAATAATGATAATGATGATAATGATAATCATAATGACAAGAACGATAATAATGATATCAATAATAATAGTATTAATAGTAATAATAATAATGATAATAAAAAGAGTGATGATATGATGATGATGATAATAATAGTAATAATAATAATACCAATAACAGCAACAGCCAAAGTAATGGTGCAAATAATAATAACAAAAAACAACATTGCTACTACTACTACTAACAGAAATGATAATAATAATGATAAAAATGATAATACTAAATATAATGGTTAAAAACCACAAACATAACAATGACAATAATAATAATAAAACAATAATGATAATGATGAGGATAATGATGATGATTACAATCATAATCATAATCATCATAATAATATAAATCATAACAATGACAATACTGATAATGATAATAGTAATGATAATGATAATAACAATGACATTATTGTTAATGATGATGATAATGATAACAATAATAATAATGATAATAATAATAATAATTATAATAATAATAATAATAATGATAATAATAATAATAATAATAATATAATATAATAATGATAATAATGATAATAATAATGATAATAATAACGATGATAATAATAATAATAATGATAATGATAATAGTAATATTAACATCGATAATGATAACAGAAATAATGCTGCTGCTCTTGATAGTAATGACGATGTGACAGATACTACATTGATATTACGAACTCAGCGTTTTTTTTTTTTTTTTTTTTTTTTTTTTTACAAAGTTCAGAAAACACAAAATGGTGTTGAAATTGAACACTATTGATCCAGCTCGGTGATACTGAGAAGCGGAGATGCATTTTATGACCCCGAATTCCGACAAAATCCAGCTTCCGTCATTCCCAAGCTTACAGAACAGATACACGCCAAATGGACCTGCGAACCATGTGCCATTTCAGCTAATGGGATTCATAGTTCTATCCGTAAAGTTTTACGGGGTTTCTCACAGCGCGGTCAACTCGCCTGTTTCCGTGTTCTTGATTAAGAGCATATCTCTCTCTCTCTCTCTCTCTCATTATTTTTTTTTCTCTCTCTCTCACACACACGCTCACTCTCTCTCTCTCTCTCTCTCTCTCTCTCTCCTCTCTCTCTCTCTCAAACTCACTCACTCACATTCTCTCTTCTCTCTCTCTCTCTCTCACTCACATTCTCTCTCATAATCCATGAGTCATACTATACGTGCTCTTGATGACTTATCCTGATTAAGAGCATCTCTTTCTCTCTCTCTCACTCATTCACATTCTCTCTCACTCTCTCTCATT